TCTCTCACCTACACCCTCAATATGCGGGGAAAATTAAAATATATAATTTGCTTCACATATAAATTCCTATAATTTTCCTAGAGAAAAATTTAGCAATATTTATCAAAATACTTAAAATTATTAATGAACAGATTCTTGGTTACAACATTTAGAAATTTATCACAAGAGAAAAAAGTTGCAAAAAGATTTATGTATAGGGGATATACCTATTAGTAGTCTTTATTATTGTGAAAATTGGTGATAACCTAAATATCCAACTCAAGGTGCTTGGATTAAATAAAATGATAGTCCTACCATATGATAGAATATTCAGGCACTAGCAACCATACTGCAGAATATTTAATTCCGTGAAAAAAAATTTATGTGTTGTTAGGTGAGTAGTTTGGGACACAAAACCAAATGTACTCTTTGTTTTATTAAAAAAAGTCAAATGTATACATAAGTACAAAAAAGTCTAGAAGGCTTATTTCCTGAGGCTTGTTTCGTAAGTGGTATACCATTTATTTTCTACTCTTTCTATTGGTAAAATTTTCTAAAATAATAAAATTTGGTTTATTATAATAGACACATAATTCTTCAGTAAGAAAAAGTTAATGTTACTAAATATCTTGTCTGTCCAAGATCAACTCTCTAAGTATCTGCAAGGTACCACATACATTAAATAAATGATTTCTCCATTCGTAGATTTTTACAGTACACATTTTTCATAGAATTCTGCTGTTTTATATTCTCCTCTAATTGTTTTGGTACACACTCTCACAAGAAAGTAGCAATCTCATACAGTCTCACGACTTGAACAGTATCTGTATACTGATGTTCCCAAATGTCCGTTTCTAGTTCTAGGGTCGCCAATGAACTCTGCGCGTGCCTCTGGGATGTCTAACAGGCATCTCAAATTTAAGAGAACCATTCATTTATTAATATCTAGTCAACTCCAACAACCAAACCCCAGATGCGCTCCACTTCCAGAATTCCTTTTTTCACTTCATGACATTATCATCCCCCCTGATTATCTTCCTTATATTCTCTTTCTCTTGTCCCAATTTCCAATCCATCAACAATTCCTGATAACTCCACTTGCCAGATTGACCCAAATCCATCTGTTTCTCATATTACCCACTCTTCTTATTCTAGCCCCAATCAATTTCTACTCTTGCTCTTCAGGTCCATTTTCCATAGTAAAGCCAAAATTATCTTTATAAAACATAAATTAAATTCATCATACTCCGCCTAAAGCCTTTAAATGGTTTCCTTTCCCACTTAGGAGAAAACTGAAATGCCCTACCAGAGCCTACTAGTTTCCCCTTAATTCATTTTATGTTTTCTTCTCTTCTGTATTCATTCTGTTCCAGACACATGGCTTTCTCTTCGTTCTCTGAATACAATTAACCGACTCCTGCCACAAGTCCTTGAATGTATTATTTCCTCTGCCTCAAACACAGTTCTCCCCGATCTTCCTATGATTCCTTCTCCCTTTCCTACGATTCCTTGTCAATCAGTATCAACCCAGCCGCCCCCCAACTTGGAATGGCCTCCACACGCTCTCTCTTCTTGAGTGCCTTCCCCTACCTCATCTGTTCTGTTTTCTGGATTTGTTCATGTTTGTCAGCTACAGGCATTGCATTGTCCTTTTCCTTAGAATATAAATCCCATGACAGCAGGGTTGTGTCTGCTTTGTTCACCCATGTAACCTCAGTGCCTTGTGCAGAACCAGGCCCATAGTGGGAATTCAATAAGTATTAGTGGAATATTTGGAATAAATTAATGATTAAGACATTTACAAAGTGGCATGTGCAAAGTAAAATCCCTACCCACTCGTTTAATGACTCTAACTCTAAAGTAAAATCCCTACCCACTCGTTACAGGGTAGAAAATGAGGTGTGCTCAATGGCAGGCCTAGAAGAAAGATGTTTGGGGGCTAACATATGGAGACAGTTTTTGCTAATAAATATGGCTGGCTTATTTCCATACACTTAGGTATGGAAAAAAAAGGACAAGAGGAACTTTTGCTTACCCCTATGATGAGAGATGGCATTTTTATAGTATACTGTATTCTCGACAAATGCATTTAATATCCATTACAATAAAAAACAAACTCCAAACACAAATAAGTGATCACCTAAATCTACAGATTAGATTCTGAAATATGTTCCTTCTTCTACTTCCTCCCTTGCTCCATACTTATTCTCAAATTAATAAATTCTCACTTATAGAAGATGATTTTCTGAACCTTTTCAGACCTGACCCTGTGGTGGGTCTTTTTAACTGCCCCTGGATATCACAGCACAGCAGCCGTTCCCACTAGGACACACACATGTGACCAGCGGTCAGAAGTCTGGCAAAGTCAAAAATTTCTCTTCATCTCCAGTACAGGTGTCTTAGGAAAGAACATGTTCTAAGACATTACAGGTGAATATTGTACAAAATATGACTTTCTGCTATCTTCTGTAAAAATCTAAATTTCAATCATATCACCCTAGTAGACTTTAAAAAGATAGACCTCAAAGGTAGCATTTTATTTCATATTCTCTTGTAACTCTGGAAGGAAACTTAAGCATGAATAATTGGAGATCTGCACACTAATATAAAGATGAAAGAATGGGACTCAGTTTAACATGGGTGCTAAAAAAAAGTGGAATTATTTCCCTCTGCCACCTTGAAAAGGATATGGCTTTGAAATCTATGAAGCAAGAAGGGTCAAATGTCATGCCAAATGGGCAACATATCAGTGAACCCTCCTGTGAAGAATTTTTAATAAACCCTACATTTTGAGTATCTACTTATTTCTTTGTGAATATGTTTTTTTTACATGTACTCTTTTGTATATAGCAGCTCCATCCTTATTGCCTACAACAGGGTTTTCCATCTGTTTTTATAATATATATATATGTATGTGTGTGCGTGTATATACATATACCATTAAAACAGTTTGAACACACACCCACTCGACACATATTTATGTATTTCTAAACTATATGCATGTGCTATTGCACTGTTACATATTTTATATACCTTCCTACAACCAAAAAAAAAAAAAAAAACGTAAAAGAATGTGGCAGAATAAATATACCTTGAAGTTCGATATTTCCTTTCTGCCCTCCAGTGGCTCAGCTTGTGAACTCCCTGGGGAATGCTTAGCCCACGCTGGAGACCACTGAGCTTTGCTGTCTCTCAGCGAGAGGAACCACTTTTTATTAAAGCTCTTTGGATTTTATGGTCCATTGTGCACTAGAGTTTTTGAATAATACAGATCTACATACCATATCATAGCCCGTGATGCTGTGAGGTGCCACCTAGATGAAGGCATTTGTTCCTCTAGCTGTATGTAATATTGTTGGCTCTGACTCAGAGCTGAGTTAACACACCCAACCTCCACCCCACTAGCCCTCATCCAATCACTGGTCAGTGTGGGACAATGAAGACCCACCTCCTTGTTTCAACTCAGGACAACCTGAAAGAGGCCTCCCAGCTCCTGAGGTCCTACTGGGTTCAGGCGAGGCTTCTGTTAAAGCTACAACACAGTTCAGTTGCTCCCTCTGTGCTGTGCCCCTCCCTCCAGCCCCTTACTGACTGCAGGGCACTCTGCCGTGAACCTCCTGCACACACATCTCTGTTTCACAGTCTCTTTCCCGGGGAACTCCAACAAAAACATATATACATCGGCATATACTGAGGAATCTAGTTTGTTTATGTGTCAAGTTCCTAATAGATTGTTTATTGGCCCACTAGAAATTTAAGAATTAAAAGATATCCTAGGGGCTTCCCTGGTGGCGCAGTGGTTGCGAGCCCGCCTGCCGACGCAGGGGACACGGGTTCGTGCCCCGGTCCGGGAAGATCCCACATGCCGCGGAGCGGCTGGGCCCGTGAGCGGCACTACTTTTCTCTTATACTTTTCCTAATGGAACTTATTTTTGATTCTGCTCTCCAGGGTGAGAGCTCTGTTTTCCCAATGTACCAGCCGTAGAAAGCGCAAAGTAGCCATTATTGCCTCCTGAAAAGGAGAAATCTCTGGTATTGGACACAAGCCCCCATATCTTGCTTTGCTCAATCTGTAGAGACTCCCATAAAAATGGAATCCTAAGAACTGGCCCCATATAAACTTAAGTTTTGCAGAACAGTTATGAGAAGCATACCAACGACTCTGGAATAATATCAATAAAAACTCAGTACTATGCTTAGGTATCGATTCTGACATAGAACACTAGAAGTCAGGATCAACTATCCATACAAAGTTTTGCTTAGAAAAAATTAAAATATAAATTGTTATAAAAAGACTAATAACTTAAAAAATAGCCCTTCTTAGCCCAAACTCCAACAGATGCAGAATGGAAGGTGGTTTTTACAACATGCAATATAATATTTGGCTTTCATTAATCAAATAGTTTGATGAAATATTCCTTTGACAGATACCTTCATGCTTTACTTGCCATGTATTAAAAACAGCAGTACATACTCACTTAATTAAATAATATTATTAAAGATAAAACAAGTATTTCATAAACAACCATTAGGTAACATGTAAAAGGTGATACAGGAAATAAATACAAGAAATGCATGTGATTAATTTATGACTTAACTTTTGTTGAAAATGCAGCAAAACCCTTCACAGCAAGGCTCAGAAAGTTGCCTGGAAGGTGACTTTGGCATCTTCCATGCTCTTCTATGTGTTTTCTTTGATGGTGACAGTAGTTCCCATGTCTAAAGCTTATTCGTTAGGGATGAAGCTCATCCTGAGATTCTCATTATTTATTGAAACCCTGAAACCATGGTTCCTTTTACAGATAGATATTATCCATCCATTAAAATACTGCTGCACATTGACTGTATATGAAAATCACTCAACCAAATATTTCCAAAACTCTAGATACAAATAATTTATTCCAGTACTCAGCTTCAGGTAGGATTATCAGATAGGATTAACAGGTTGATGACATATAATGGAAAGTCATCATTTACTAGTTATCACTGACTATACCAATAAATAGAGCATTGGCACTTACCTGAATAACATGCTTCAGTTTATCAATAATCTGATTTATCACCGGATCAGTTCCTTTGACTTTGACTTCGGGATTTCCAGACTGGGCTTTGATTCCATTTCCAACCACACGCTGAGTATAGCTAACAAAGTGAAAAGTGAAAGGTACATGACTTAATAATCTGGTCACAGTATTATCTGCCACAACTTTTGGAACAGATTCGAGTTCAGAATCTTACTCCTTCAAGAGTATAAAATAATGTATTTTTTCTTGGACCAGAATCAGGCACAGCTGCAATGTTTTTTTCCTGGTAAAACACTTAGCATGCAAATACAGACTATTCTATTGTTATCCTCTCAAAAGACCCAACCAAAAATTGTGCTTTTAATACTACTTACCAATATACTAAAAAAAGTTAATATACATCTCACTTTGTTACCAATCTTTGCTGAATTACACACGTCTGAATCCATATCATCTGGGTCAATTCACTTCATTTTACAAGTATTTAGATGAATCACAGTAATATTTTTTTACATATTGGACTACCAAAGAAATATATATACACATATACACATATATGTGTCACATAATGTCAACTTAGTACTCAAACAAATATTTAGATTCATCAGTCACAAAGATGTATTAAGCGCCCCCTCCTATATTCCAGTCCTATACTACATGACTGGGGTTATAAGGAGTTATAAGACTCAATTCTTATCCTCACAGCACTCATTATATACCTGGGAATATAATGTATCAATTAACTTGTTCATTCATGCATTCATTCATTACCTTATATTTAAAAGTTCTTACTAGATTCCAGCAATATAACTATCTTTATTTTCCTGACAGTGTGGGGTAGCATAATGACAAGTGAACAGTTAAAGCACAGCAGTAGGAATGAAGGAGACGTTCAGTATGTGGTAGGGATAGCAAGAAGGAAGAGTATATGCCAAGTGAGAGGGAGGGATAACACAAGTAGTAAACATTGAACATATGGAGAAGTTTATTTGGACCAAGGAGTTATAGCTTGAGGCAGCCCTTGAAATATTAAGGTAAGGATAGGTCTTGGATGTAGTTAATGTGCTCTCCAGGGCAAAAGATGACATCCCAGCAGGGGAAATCGCAAAGGCCCTTGAGTAACACACACAGGGAAGAATAACTAGGCTTTTATTTACAAAAGGAGAGAACAAATGGGGGAAAGTAAGAGATGGGGGACATGCCCTGGAGGTTCCATCCCCTCTGTGTTTAAGACTTTCCTCTGAGTAAAATGTTGCTTACATTAAAGTATCATGATAAAGTGGCCTCACAGACTTTTCGGGAAGCATTTTCACATAATTTGTAATGTAATATCCCTTCTCTGTATTTGAGCAGAGTATCACAATTATGCACATGAACCTTCTGAATTTTCTACAGCAGTGGAAACTCTTTGAAAAGATAAAAAGAGGTTCCACTGTTGAGAATATGGCCAAACAAAAGGAGTTTCAAGTAATATCCAGTTATTCCCAATATTACGCATACCCAATGATCATTTTTCAAAAGTAGATCAAACAATTGCTAATTATGTCCTTCCAATGATAGTAAATGATGGAACTCTTTGATATGGATAATACCAATTGGATGTGATAAGAATAATGATATTAATAACTCTTTATTTTTAAAACAACCTTGAACTCGTTTCTTTATGCAGAAATAGAGGGTTTTAGAGTTAGGTATTCCAGTGTAAGTTAGTAACTTAGCAATATATACCAATAACAAATAGTAGAAGGAAAACAATTATGCATATACTATTAATGTGTACTAATATTCTTTAGTTAAGAAGAATCAAGTAAATTATAAATATTAGGCTTCTCTTAACTTCTCTGTAGCACTGTTATATATTTCTTCCAAATATTTCAAGTAGATTACGCATGTGGCTCCCTTATTAGTGTGATTATTAATAATAATGATGAATAATGTGAATAAATAAATGGATAAATGATGACTATGACTCAGGCATTGTTTTAATTACTTTCTTTGGAGTCTGTCAGTTCATCTCAGTGACAATCATTTGTTGCAGCCATGAGAACATGCCTCATAGGCTTCAAAATATTGGAAGTGTCATTGACCAGGGCACCTGCCGCTTTGCTCTGAAATCTATTTGTTTGTCTCCTCCAACCAATGACTGAGTGCAGCAGAGATACTAACACACACCAATCACTGGAAGACATAGCTTTCCCCTAATGGTCAATTTTGACTCAGGATTCCCTGCAGCCCCTGCTAAACCTGCCTTAGACGGCACCTCATGCCGAATGCTTCCACTCCACCTTGCTTCCCTCCCTCCTTCACTCCGGGTCACGTTTGCTTCATGGCCAACAGCTCTTCCAGCCTTACCCAGATTCCTCCCCGTTTTCACTCATAGGCATTTCACTTAATAAAACTCCTCTTGTGTTTAGTCCTTCTTTGGCATTTGCTTCTTGGAGGACCCAGAACAGTACACCATATAATATTTATACGATAATTATTCCCTATCTGTAGGTTGGGGATCTAAGATTTGAATAGGATAAGTAACTCTCCCAAGGCAACACTGCTGGTTAAATATACAGCAAGGATGTGAACACAGGGAATGTGAGCTCTAGATACAATCATTCAATAATTATGAATGAAAACTCCTGAAACCAACTAACATAAAGATACAATTAGCTTGGTGCAAAGTGCTTGTTTTTTTAATTGTTTTGTTTTGATTTGATTTTTTTTTTACTGTAACTATACCATTTCAAAGTCTTCACTGCTTCTAATTAAAAGGGATATACTATTTTCTTCAAAAACCTCTTCAGCGAACAGTTGTATATTACTAGATAAAGAATGAAATAACAGTTGCTGGCAGGGTGAGACTGAACTAATAGACTGCAAGTTTGCCTTAAGATTTTCCTTTGTTTCACCTGAAATACAGACATAATGCCAACAATGGAAACTGAGACTCCTCTCTTAACTTTAAATAAACACTTACTTGGTTCACGTCTTGATTTATTTATAGACCATGAAACTTTCTTTTAACATTCAAGAATATTGTTCCACATTAATCCAAAGAATTGCTTATTTTTTGTTCTTAATTATTACAGTAAATAACTCGTTAAATTTATCAGAATTACAATTGATCAATAATCTCCTTCCCAGCTAGTATATTACCGAATAGTTCAGGATCACTATTCTTATGTATCATTTAAGTAAGAAAAAAATATTGCAAAGCAGGGCATTTAAGATACTTTAAGTGAAACATGCTTTAATAAAATTATTCTTTTCTGTTTTTGTAAGATTAAGAAGAACCACAGTGCAATAGTGATATACACACACCAGAATGATTTAAATGAAAAAAGATGATACCAAGCATTGGCACAGACGTAGGGCAGCTAGAACCCTCTCTCCTTGTGGATGGGAGTTTAAACTGATATAAACCACTATTTGACGTGTATTCGGGTATATACTAAACAATGTTTACCAAAAGAAAGGTATAGAATTTTCGGAGAAGTTCTATGCAAAAGAGCACCCAACTGGACAAAACCCAAATATCCCTAAACATTAGCATGGGCAAATAAATGGTAGAATATTTACATAATGTCATACTATATAGCAATGAGAGTGAATGAATTACAACTGTATTCCAAATCTTATAAGCGAACTATTAAATGAAAGAAGCAACATATGGAACATGTGCTATGATTCCATTCACTAAAAGTTAAAAACTAATCAATGATGTTCCAAATCACCATAAGTACTACTCTAGGAGATAGTGTGCAGAAGCTTGAAGGGGGTTTTGGGGTTCTAGTAATATGTTTTTTGATTTGGATCCTGGCTCCACAAGAGTGCTCATTTTATATTAAAAAAAAAAAAAGAATAGAACTGCATAGTTAAAATTTGGATACCTCACTGTATACATGTATTTTCAACCTAAACGAAACATTTACGTTGAAAACTTCTCATGCTCTTTTTCTTAATATGCATACAACAGACAAATTTGCATTGAACAATGTATAATAAAAGAACAACATAGGTATTTTTAACACGGGCTAAATGGTTTTGTCATCATAAAATTAGTAATTTAGGCTCCTAGTCTGACACAAAAACTCCCTGCAGACTTTAATTTGCATGCAAAAAATACAGTTACTAAATCAAAGTTTTTCCAACAGACTTCTTATATGAGTTTTTCTCATTATGAAATTTTAATAAATCATTAATCACTCTTTTCCTCCTACATGTACAAGTAATGGATAAAACATTTCAAGGAACCCTACAGAGGCTTCTTGACTTGAAAAACTGCTCACATTTCAATGAGAAGGAGGGAACAAAACACACACAAAAAAGAGGCAAATTTTTTGTTAGAGAAGTAATAGACCCACCATCTGTGCCTGTTTCTTTTAAGCAGGTCTGGGAATGGATGACAGCAGTTTAATAGGAATACTCATTCCACAAGTATGACTTGCTTCTCATTAACATGGCAAAAAGGCAAGTACGGATATATTTACATTCTATAAAAATGTTTTAAAATGATGATTAACAAGATTCCAGTTCTCTTTGTGTTCAACAGATGAAATATTAAAAAGAAGTGCTAATACATCTACACACGGTATGTCATTAAGAAGTCATTTCTCCTGACATTACCAACATTTCTTATTTGAAACACACCATGCTCTCCTGGCTGATATTAATTTCATTTTCTTGGGAATGCAATAGAATTTGTTTCAGATTCACATCAAAAGTATGGTATTTTGATGTGCACTTATACAATTTCAGGTGGAAAAATATACAAAATCTGACCCTGGAATTCGTTATGAATCATTAAAGTGATCTGTCTTAGAAGTTTTTGATAGCTTCACTGGGACAAGATATAAGAATATGATCATTGATCAGAGATGAGGAAAACACCTTATCAGGGGCTTTCTCTTTCTACTATTATTGCCAACTCTGTTAGAGATTCAAGATTGAGAATGGGGACCATGTTGGTGGTGGTGGTAATAGTAGCAGCAGTAGTAGATGTTTGGTTTATATCCTTTTTTCTGACTTGGTTAGGTGATTGTATATTAAAATTCCTTCCATTTCCAGAGTTCTGAGTCTCCTAGTTTTAGGAGGTGTCTTTGACTCTGGTAAATGCATTGCTGTCTC